GATGATGTTAATAAGTTGTGTTGCATGATTTCTTTGTGTGTTCTTAAAGTTTAGGGATAATGCCGCTTTTATTATTTAATAAATATCTCTTTCCGAACAGATTTCCCCATCAGTAATGGGACGTTCGGGATGAAGCCAATCAAAAAAAAAAAAGAAAGAAAAATTCGATTTGGATAATAGCTTTTCTTATGACACAAGATTGTTCTGTTCCGGGACTGTAGTGAATAAAGAGGGTCAGCTCTTGTTAACCCGGTACAACAAAGTAATAGAAGAGAGTTAGTACTCATTTAATTGACCTCCTTTTCGAAGTCAATGAATTTCTTTCTTTTACTTTTATTTTGTTCAAGTTGCTTCAGTGAATGAAAATGCTCAATAAAGCGGGTAGGTCTTACTAGCCCTTACACTCGTCAAACTTATTTACTCATTCTCCACAGTAATGGATTTACTTTACTTCTTTCCCAAGCATCTGGTAATTCTGGCTGCCTTTCCACTCCTCACTTTGGTTTCCACCAAGCCAATCAAATCTGCCTCTTGTGCTCTTATATAATCTTTGGCCTCTCTCTGCTTCTCGACTTTACCGATCTTTTTGACATTCCATATAAGGACCTTCATGTGGAACTATTGTTGTTTTTACATTCCCCTCGCACCTTAGCGCTACCTCTGGTTTTTCGTCTTGTGCAGCCCTTATTTGTCTTTTGTTCTTTGGCCTTTACTTTCCCCCTCCCCCCTCTTTCTTAGAATTCAACATTTATGATATGTTTTGCATCTTGTTCGCCCACTCTTCATTCAGGGTGATTCGAACCAGGGGAGGATCTTCCACCTTGTTGGTCATAGCACCAGTACTTGAACGCTTACTCTTACTGCTCTTCTCAGGTTCACCTCTTTTGGATGCCCTGAGGTTCTTGTTTGAAGTCATTTGTTTATCACAGAACAAGTCCCCCTCAGTCACTGCCATAGTTGACCCTCTCTTCCAGATCCTCGCTTCTATGAGCCAAATCACTCTCCTCGGGAGTTCTCTCCTTGACTACACCCTCCTCGGCTTTGTTACCCAAACACTCATCCTGAGCAATCTCTTCCGGTTCAGCAGTGTCCAGATCTGGCATCTTTGCCTCTTCTTGTTCAGGGTCCTCTAGAACCGCAAAACGGTTCGGGCTGACTAGGTCCAGTTGGGTCATTCCACTCGCACAACTAGTGTCCAGCCCCCCTTTGCTATTGTCACTACTGGTACCTGACCCCGTCGGCTCGACATTTTTGCAAACACCGACCCTTACTCAATAGGGCAATTCAAAGAGGAGAACGAGGACAGCTGACTACCGCTAAAAGTCAGACTAAGAGTACACATTGTATGATTGAAAACTGCCGCTGCATACTACCCGGTGCTTGCAGGTCTGACTGGTGCCTTCTCTCCAACAGCTGCTTCAATCAATGTTAAGTCTGACTACGCCCGCAGCTGACTACTTATTGAAAGACCGAACAGGAAATGAAAAGTCGTACTACAACAACTGTAAATAAACATTCCCTCCCCGCTCTGACTTTGATCGACTTGCCCGCACAGCGTCTTTTTTGAGAGAAGAGGTCAAGGGGCTAAGTGACTCTCGAAAGTCGTCTTTTGTATCGCGTCAAGAGAAATGACATAGATAAGATCATTGCTTAAAGAGTTTCATTGTCGAATTGATCTCGAAATTGGATCCCAATAGTTGCTGCTGCCCAAAGGTGCTTTATGAAAGCCGGTCCACAGCAGTGAAAGTACGATTGATTCCGTCGATCGAACGAAAACTGCTTCTTGCTTTTTTTTCCTCTCTGGCTTGACTACTCTGCTTGCTTAACACAAGTCTTATTTAACCTTCACGGACCACTTCACTACCCAGCAAGCTCCGGCTCGAAAGCAAGAAGCAAGGGCGCAGCAGCTGCGCGAAGTTGCGCCTTAGCGCATCCGTTTTCTTGCTCGTTAGCGCTGTTTTTTGATTGCAGCTAGCGCGCTTGACTAATAAGATAGAAAGGGCCTTTCTCGCTTGTTTGAAGCCATATAAGGCTTTCTTCAATCGGCAAGGGAAGTCTGATAGGGCTTTAAGAGATAGGGACGTAAGCGCAGCGGTAAGAAAAAGTCACTCAGTGAATCGGTGGATCACACACTTGGAGACAGGGACAGGGGCATGCCTGACTCTTTAGAAAGTATACAAGTGTTGAAAGAGTGAAGTCTGGGGACAACGGTAAACGTGAGGAATGGCACCTCCGCCCTACTAAAGAAGTTCGCAAGCAAGGGACATGCCGAACACCTACCTTTCCAACTAAGTCCAAGGCGAGGACCCGTTAATTGACGATGCGTTCCGTCGTCAGCAAGCGGTGGCCGACAAGGCCCCTTTCCCTAAATATCTTGGGAAGCGAAGAGGACAGGTTTGAAACTCATTCGGTAATCCTCTCCTGAAGGTAGGCATTTCCCCAAGGCACTGATATGATGACTCTCTCAATTACACGTGTTTTAGGGAGTTGAACGTCTTAT